ACAACTACAACTACAACTACAACAACTACTACAACTACAACTACAACAAAACAACCAACCAACTAACTAACTAACTAACTAACTAACTAACTAACAACAACAACCAACAACCAACAACAAACAACAAACAACAACTAACAACTAACAACAACAACAACAACAACGACAACAACAACTACTACTACTAATAACAACAACTACTACAACATACAAACAACATACAACATCTTGTTGCATCCAAATTTATAAAATAGGACGGAATAATATAGAAATATATAAAGTGATCGCCATATTATTCACACACCCTGATTAGTTTAGTGGGACGGAATAACAATAGGTTGTTCACCCAGGGTGTTTTTTGAAGAATTCTTGATTTGTCTACAATTACTACTACTACTACCACCACCACCGCTACTACTACCACCACTGCCACCACTACCACTACGACTACGACTGCGACTGCGATTGCCACTCCTACTTTTACTACTGCGACGACGACTACTTCTACTGCTACTGCTATAACAACAACATTAACAACAACATTAACAACAACAACAACAACTACTACCCCAGAGGATCCAAACATTACAATACAGACTACTTTCAGTGAAAGTATATTCTCCTGCACACCCCACTTTCGTAAAAAAAAGGCCTTGTTTTCACACTAGCTCAAATTGTCATGATTTGATGGTAGGTCCACCAACATGCAGCAAATTACCAACTGCTTTACAGCCGGGTCAGGCCACAGCTGAATCTGAATTGGAATCACTAGTATCATCATACTCATGATCCATGAACCTCAACTTAATGTACATCTTGAGGAGCACGTGAAACTCTAAGTTCGCTGGATGTGTGCTGGATGCAATGCCTCAGATTGCAATATATGCATACTGCACTGCAGCTGGTGTACACAGTAGACAAACACAATTGATGTGAGCAAGCAAGCTATAAGGATACTAGCGGCCAAGGTACGCTTAACATGCTTCATCCATGATTCCTGCTTGAAGCAATGCAGGAAACGGGAATTGATGCCTTATATCATCAAAGGCAGTCCTCTCACACTCACCTCTGCAGGGTACACCAGTTGTTCAAGCTTAATGACTTGTGTAGTTGCAGTGTAGTCCGTGTTTTTGAATGCAATTGAGGTGCAATCCTCCACCTGTGAATAGGCCAGTTCCTGAAAAGCCTTAGGGCAAGGTGAGGTTGCTAAATTTTTCACACAAGGGTAATTTAAACACTCACCAGTGCTCACCAGTGTGGCCAGGCAACGTGGATTTTGGGACGGGTGGGCCAAAGCAACTCGCCATTGTGAATTGCCCTCTCTGCCAGGCTCAGGTATGACTGCAGGCAGATGTCCTCAGGTATGACTTCTTATAAGTCAAACAAAAGCAACAACAAATCCCACACTGTAGGGCATCACTCCATTATATATTTTGTTTTTCAGATCCATGAGTATATCATGATCATATAGCAAGCTAAGGGTCAGATATCTTCATCATGTGTCTGGCTTCATCCTCTTGCAGGTAACGTGGTTTGCGTTCAACTTGGTTGAACCACTCAGCCAAATGGTACCTGGTTCAGTCATATAGGGATGCACCGGCACAAGAAATTCCATAGAGCTTTCAACAAGGAGACATCACAAATTTATAAAGCACCAAAGGCACATGCACGTAGCCACCTGCTTGAAGTGCTCAGAGCCCGACCAGTGTGATTTCCACAGGCTGCAAGTCATATCACTAAGCCAGGCAGTGACAACTCTGGCCTAGGACAGAACACTTTTAAACACTCACACTAGTGTATACGTATGTTGCCATCCACCCTTTGCTCATACCCATGTGTGCATGAACAAAATTGCCACTAAAAAAATCCCAGTAGCATTGTATGCCTTTGCCCTCAACTCAGGATAGGCAGAGTTTGCAGCTCCCAAGATGAAACATGGCTGGCTGTGCCTGCAGGAGAGAACCACACTTGGACTGAAAGTATTTTAAGCATATATATATATATATGTATATGGATGGTTCCCCTAGGCCAGATGCATGCAAAGCAAATGACATTTTTTAGTCAAAGTGTGTAATTTGGACTAGCTGCGGGATTTTGCTCGTCTTGGCCCACTCCAAGAATTGTCTCCATGCCCGGCTAAGCTTCGTATCGGTGTCAACACCCTGCCCTCCAAAGACTTCCAAATCAATCAGTGTTTGAAGGCAGGAACCTGATGCCCAAGACACAAACCCAAGATTGAGTGAATGCATAGCACACATCTTGACCTGCTGTGGGTGGAAGCTCGCAATGGTGGTAATGGCACCTTGGCTTGTGTGGGTTGAATTTTTGGGGCATGATGGGGCATGTGAGTGGGGAGTGGGTTTGCCTGGTTGTGATACTATTGCGTGCAAGTAGCTCTTTTCACCACGTCTGCAGGCATTGGATACAAAGTCATCAAGATCCCTTCGAGTTTCCTGCTCTAGCCTGTTTGGTGTGCAAAGGTATGCATCTTTTTTGGCGTGACATTTGTAGCAGATCTCTTTCGCATTCCACACGGCACATAGGTTGAACCACTCCTGCACAGTACTAGGTAACAAGGACCATGTTCATGATCTACAGTGCATGGTGGCAACAAGTCCTTGTGAAACTTCCAGTCTGCTTGGTACTGTGTGATGGTGCACCGAATGCTTTCTTTGCTTGACCGGTTGCGTAGATTCAAAGGCACTCCATGGAATAGGGTATTGAAAGATATGGCAACCTCACAAACACAATATCCCTCACAGTCTGTTTCATCAAACCTGTAATTTTTTGGGTCCAATTAATGGACCTTTGTGCAAAGAAGAAGCCGGCTTCAAGAGAGCTTGAAGGGTGTCAAATCCAACCGATTGGTCCTTGGTGGGGGTAAGAAAGGGAAATCAAATCTATATAAAGTTGAGACCCCTAGACATCAACAATAATGAGAAACAATATCAGACAAGTATCAAAGCGGTATGCAAAGAGAGGCCAAACAGTTTGGACACAATGGGTTCTATCATCAAGAACGCACCCCATAGATACTGCCACAATCTTCTGTCCCAATTCATTGTATTGGGCATCATCTCCCCACAGCCAAACTGGTACATGGGCATGGTGACACAGAGCAACATGGCTCTTTGCCCATTCAAGGTGTCCAGAGAGGTGCTCCCAGTACTCTCGAAGGCGGGCTGGATCCATAGCCTCTGTTGGGAAGAGGTCGTGTTCCACCATCCATGGTAGGAGCTTGTGAGGTAAGACCACTGGGAGTTTCCTCATGTCCAATATTGCAAAAAAGGTGTTTGTCAAAAAACCATGCGCATGCATTAATATTGTTTCACAGGGTTGAATTCTTTAAATTTGCCAAGGCTCTTGTACATGGTGCCTCCCGATTTTTCATCCAATACGGGCACATCCACCATATCCACTGGTACCTTATCTACAGCATGCCAATATTGTTGAAACCCACTCATATACATATATGTAGATCTTGCAAATTGGAGTACAGCACACATGCATACTAAAAAATTCAGACATAACACTGCTCGTTTCACCTTTCGCAAAAGGTCCCGTTGAATATTACCCTTCCAACGGCCACCACAACCAGCCATCCTGAGTTCTTCAGATGGCCCACTCAGATGTACACCATGAAATGCCATCTCCTCCAGCTAGCCATAGACAGCTTAGAGGCCAGCTGATATGATGAAACCAGCAAGCCCTCTCACAACTAGGCAGTCCTTGCCCACAGCCTCCATCATTTTTTGTGACCTCTCAAAGGATGTATCCTTAGCTGAGGCACTTGGCCCATGACCAGATGCAACGTCAATGGTGCAAAGGCTCTTGAGGAGGCTTGGGTGATGATGCATGAGGGATGGTCTCAGATAAGGCTCTCCACCACCAGCGGACTCCATCACATAATCGAACAATGGTGATGTCATTGGGGCTGATACACCTGCGTGGAATCAAATCGTATAAGTAAGTTGCAGCACTCTTGGCAGCAAATGCAAATTGAAAGGTACAGTTATTAATCAACATCGAGAGATTCTTTTCAATTTGCGGAGATGTTGTTTCCCTGTTCCCAAAATCTAGCACTCCCACACAAATACCTGCACAGTGATCCACTCTATACAAATACTAAAACATGTGTGATCTAGTAAGTAGGCATTTTGGGAAGCTGCAGGTACCTGGTAGGTTGGCTGCCCAATTGTGTGAGCTGCTCGAAGCCAATTATTTGGACACAA